TCTCCTCATCTGATTAAAGTTGCCCAGCTAAATGCTACGTCTTTTTGATCAAGAGTATACAAAACGGATAGTTTCACATAAGCACTAAATGGTCACTTTGGCCGAGGGGCGGTATGGAGATGACCTCGTCTATGCTGTCTGAGGTTTCCGTGGAAACTTAATCCAGGCAGTTAGCTCTTTGTACTTCACGTTCTCTCGTTGGGAACGTTAACTGCTACGCGAGGAGTGCCTTTAATACTTTGGGCAGCAAACGGAAATAGAAGGCCGGTTTTGGGCCTGACGTTTGATCGGTATTCCAGTTAATTCCTGCTGCACGGAAATCGCCCATTATCATTATGTTAGGTCAACTGGGGATTTCTTTAATTTTTCCAACAGCTGATTTTCGGTGATTTGGTCTGTCTTAGGTGGCCGGTTAATAGCGAGGACATCGAGACAGGGGGAACCAGCCGCCTAGGCAGTCAACTAGATAGCTTCCGCGTTGCACACAAACTTTCTGAAACCACCAGGACTTCTCTCACGTGCAAAATTATGCCGCCACCTACAAAGTTCGACTGTTGCTCCCAACGATGTCCACCATGTTCTCCACAGCAAGTTGAAGCAGGCACGGTGACTTGCGCGTGAATTAGTTTAAAGTGAGTTTAGACTTGCGGAGCATCTGCCACACTATCTCCTCATCCCTCACCTGGGCCCTGTGCTAAGACAGAGTAAAGAAGACCGGAGGTGGCGAAGGGCACAGACGGATAGTGCGACCGAGCCGGCACCTTGGCGCTCCACTCCACACCCCCTGGTCCACACAGCAATAGACAGCCTGGTTTCGGTTACTGCGATAACATCCGGAGACAGTTCGGTGCGGCAAAGTTTTAGCTATTCAAGTTTTAATATGAGGTTTAAGACACTTGTGTGCACACACTTCAATTTTGCGCCAGCCAAAGTTCCGACTGCATTCGCCAATCTTACGTGTATTTCTGCGCTGTCGCGGACGCTGTTTTTACTGTTCTGTTCCATTGCCTAACGGGTAAATTAACGTCCGTTTCTTCGATTAGAACACTGGGTGTAAGGGGCTTAGTCATGGTGTCTTCTCGATTGACTGGTTCCACGATGGAGTCTGAGTTAACTGCATAGCTGCTGCCATTCCCAGTATTACTGGCTGGTTCAACCGAAACGGCATAGTTTTCTGAGCTACCTTCTCCCTAAAGGTAGCCAGGTTGCGTTTGC